CAATGTACTATTACTGCAGTATCTGTAGTATTACTGCAGTATATATAGTTTTACTGTAGTATATGTAGTATTACTGTAGTACAATGTACTATTACTGCAGTATCTGTAGTATTACTGCAGTATATATAGTTTTACTGTAGTATATGTAGTATTACTGTAGTACAATGTACTATTACTGCAGTATCTGTAGTATTACTGCAGTATATATAGTTTTACTGTAGTATATGTAGTATTACTGTAGTACAATGTACTATTACTGCAGTATCTGTAGTATTACTGCAGTATATATAGTTTTACTGTAGTATATGTAGTATTACTGTAGTACAATGTACTATTACTGCAATATCTGTAGTATTACTGCAGTATACATAGTTTTACTGTAGTATATGTAGTATTACTGTAGTACAATGTACTATTACTGCAATATCTGTAGTATTACTGCAGTATACATAGTTTTACTGTAGTATATGTAGTATTACTGTAGTACTGTGAGGATTCTGGCAGGAACAAACCCAGGGTGCAGGCAGGCTCAAAAGTATAACAAAAATTTATTTTTAAATAACAAAAAGAGGGCTGCTGGCAGCAAACTTACAGATACTGAAGAATAACAGGCACGAGGGGGAACAAAGCACGAGGAACCAGAACCAACACATGAGACACAACAATGATCCGACATCAGACTGAGACAGGACAGGGTTTAAATACACAGACTACTAATTACTAAACTGAAAACACCTGGTGAGAAACACGAGGGTGACAATCAGACAGATAGGGAGCAGCTGAGCTGTGACACACTGGGGAACACTGAAAACACTAGAAAACTAAGAAAATAAACACAGATCCTGACAAGTACAATGCACTATTACTGCAATATCTGTAGTATTACTGCAGTATATATAGTATTACTGTAGTATAATGTAGTATTACTGCAGTATATATAGTTTTACTGTAGTATATGTATTATTACTGTAGTACAATACACTATTACTGCAGTATTTATAGTATTAATGCAGTATATGTAGTATTACTTTAGTATATATAGTATCACTGTAGAATATGTAGTATTACTGTAGTATAGTGTAGTATAACTGCAGTATCTGTACTATTACTGCAGTATTTGTAGTATTACTGCAATACATGTAGTATTACTTTAGTATATATAGCATTACTGTAGTGTCTGTACTATTACTGTAGTATATATAGCATTACTGTAGTATATATAGCATTACTGTAGTATATATAGTATTACTGTAGTATATGTAACATTACTGTAGGGTATATGGTGTTACTGCAGTATAGTATTACTGCAGTATATTTAGTATCAGTACTATAGTAGAATCCCAGTACATTTAGTACATTTATAATTAATTTGCAGTTTTATTTATTTAGAATAAAAAGTTTTAGTATTTTTCATGATAAAGTTTTGTTTTATTTATTTTTTATTAATCAAACAAATAAGTTTATCCAAGCTGCTGAGAAGGTTCTGGTTCTGGTTCTGGACCCTGCAGGTTCTCACCAACAACTTTATTGAGGATTTATTTTATTTAATCTAAATAAAGAAGAACTGCTCCTGAGCAGAACTCGGCCAGCAGAACCTTTGGGTTCTGGTTCGGTTCTGGTTCGGTTGTAAACAGCAGCAGAAAAAGTCTGTGACGCATTTTGATTTGGGTTCTGAGCTCGTTTGGTGGGCGGGTCGGTCCTGGTTCTGCTACAGGCCGAACCCCGCGGACACCTCCAGTGGACCTGCAGGCTGCAGAACCGAACCGAGCCGAGCGGGTTTCCCCTCAGCTCCATCAGCAACAAACAGAAAAGAGAAATAATCTGCAGAGTTCACAGAAAGCCCCCCACACACCCCCAGGGTCCGCACAGAACCCAGAACCAGGCTCCGCGGTCCAATCACAGGACAAAAGAGCGCCGAACCGGACCGAGTTCTGCCTCGGGCCCGAACAGAACCTGAGCTAAAGGCTGCATAAAGCCCCGCAGAGAGGAGAGCAGTGATAGAGGAGCGGTACCGACCGTTGGACCGGGCTGGTTCCAGCAGAGACCCTGTCAGATGCAGGCCGCCATGTTCGCTGCAGCTCCGCGCATGTCCACTGCGCAGCTCCCAGACCAGGACCTGGACCCACCTGGAGGACTCACTCTGATGACACCTGTAAACAAATAATGACGTCATGTCATTACTGGATGTTTGGATCTAATTTCAAATCCAGATCCGGGTTTTCAAAGGTTCTGCTGAATGATGGACCTGAGATCTGAGGAGACCAGGTCTGGACTGTCTCATCTGGTCTGATGGAGGATTCTAGATGTTCTTCAGTCCTGGATGGAGCAGATGACCTAAACCAGCAGAAGCATCAATGCACCCCCATACCATCAGAGAGGCAGGTCTTTGAACAGTCTCATCTTTGAGATGTTTGTAAAAGAATTTCAGAAATGGATCRGTCTGAACACAGAACACAAACAGAACTTTGTTACTTCCTGTTTGGACATTATTCAGGTCCTTCAAAATAAAATACCCTCATCTTATAAAATAAAATCCCCTGCTTGTTATAAAACAGACTGAATCTGAATTCAGTGTTTCCTCAATTAGTGGAGTAAAGGGGAGGAGTGTGAGG